CTGGGCTTAAAGATGTGCGATGAACACCATTCTCTCTTTTTTAAATATGTATTTATTGATTTCAGAGAGAGGACGGGAGAGGGAGAGAGAAAGAGAAAGAAACATTGATAAGAGAGAAACAGCGGATAGGTTGCCCCCTGCATACCCTCTTTTGGGGAGCGAGCCCACAACCTCGGCATGCACCCTGACCAGGAACTGAACCTGTGATCTCTTGGTGGATGGGTTAACACTCAAGCACTGAGCCCCACCAGACCAAACATTATATTTTGGTCTTGCCAGTTTTTTCTTGTGTTAAATGTATAAACTCATTTGGAGATAACAATAGAAGTGTAAATTTGAGGACCTTTACAAATGGGCAACATGGGCCTATATAACCCTCCATCACCATCCTGGTGATAAGTGATAAGGCTGGCCAACCACTCCAGTCTCATGCAGGTACCCCCTGTCTCCTCCGTGGTTCCAATCACTGAATCAACCAAAGCCATCTCTGCGGTCCAGAAGCAGGGCCTGATCCAGCTGTGCGAGAAGGCTGAGGGCCCTCTGGGAGTGCTGCACACAATGGAAGGGCTGCCAGCACCGCACACAGCAACGTGGTGATGGTCACTTCCCACTCTGGGGCTTGCTTTTTCCTTTCTGTGCCTCCTCGGCTTGGCTGCCCGAGGCCCTGGGCAAACACTGCTGTTGTTCCAAATGGCTAAAACCACTTGACATTTAGTGCAGGAGACCCTGCAAGGAACTCACTGCATGCTCAGTGGTAGAATTCACTGCACCAAAAAAATTAGATGGTTCCGCTGCCTGCCTACAAATTTCTATTGCATTGCAAATGATTACAAAAGAAGGCAATATTGGGCTTTCTTCAGACCGCCCCCCCCCCCAATGCAGCCAATCAAAGAGTGTTCACCTGAACACATGCCTATGACCAAAACAACATCCAAGCATCAAATATAGATGCACGCATTGCACACAGGTTCATTTACGGCATGCCCACTGTTTGGCAGGTACTGAACTAGGTGTTGAGTACCCAGCTATGAAAAGGATATGATCTTTTCCTTCACCAACATCCGAAGATGACATACATGGAGACAGCGAGGGACAGAGAGCTTGGTAAACCTATCCCAGGGTACTTAACCAGACCTGCAGGTAGTTAACCTTAATATACCTGAGCCCTGGCCTGTGTGGCTCAGTTGGTTGATCACTGTCCTGTGCACCAAAACGTTGCTGGTTGGATTCCAAGTCAGGGCCCATACCCAGATTGTGGGTTTGATCCCTGGTGGGGCCACATGCAGGCAATCAATCAACATTTCTCACATTGATGTTCCTCGCCCTCTCTCCCTTCCTCTCTCTTTAAAACATCAATAAAAAACATTCTTAAAATAGAATAAAGCAGGGCTGAGATGCCAGCTCCCTTCCTTCTCTCTCTACTCCTTCACCTCTTCATCCTCTCCTCCTTTCTTTAATTCTGCTCCTCTTCCTCCCATTCACTTTCCGCCCCAAACTCCCTGTCCTCCTCTCCTAACCCCAAGCTCTGGGTAAACATTAAAAGCACACGCTTGTTGAGACCGGTTTGGCTCAATGGATAGAGCGTCGGCTTGGGGACTGAAGGGTCCCGGGTTCGATTCCGGTCAAGGGCATGTACCTTAGTTGCGGGCATATCCCCAGTAGGGGGTGTGCAAGAGGCAGCTGATCGATGACTCTCTCTCATCGATGTTTCTAACTCTCTATCTCTCTCCCTTCCTCTCTGTAAAAAATCAATAAAATATATTAAAAAAAAAAAAAAAAAAAAAAAAAGCACACGCTTTCTGATGCCCAAGGCTTCCTCAGCCCTAGAAAGCTGCCGTTCTTAATGCAAATGCATGCTTTCCTCGTACTTTGCAATTTATTTCCATCCAACCCTTCAGAAGCAGGGGGACTTATCGGTACATGTCATAAATACTGGATTTTATTCTTTCTTTTTCTTTTTCTTTTTTTTCTTAAAGCTGCAGCTCCCCCAGCAAGCATCAGACGAGGTCAGTGCTGCACAAGCAGAAAACTGAATGAAGCCCCAGAAGAATGCGGGCCTTTCAGAGCACCAGAGTTTCAGCTCAGTTCCCGGTGTCAAGGTGGTTTCTATCTGTGTCAGTCAGTGTGCGTCACAACATCAGCCTCCATCCCCGTGGCACAGCCCCCCTTAGCAAGCGCCTTCTCACACAGTCTCATCAACTGTAAAACTGCAACCACCATCGATGTTACAACCGTGATGGTGTCTGCACATGGGGAGGGATGTGGCTCTGCTCAGCCAGTCCCCGTGAAGCAGGTTCCCCACGGGACAAACCCCTTCTCTTTTAGTGAATTCAGAGTGCTCATGGCTTAGCGACATGTTCATAGGATTTACCAATCCACTGGAATAACATGTTTATCTGCATGGGTGAAGTTCTTTCTTTATGCTGATGCCAGGATGGTTCCATAGCATCCCCAGAGTCTGTGACCAACCACAAAGTCCTCAGCTGCTTGGTTTTAACATACTTTGCCTTGAAAAAATGACTTCGTTTGTGAAAAATGGGTCTTAGACTTCACCTTCTATGAACCTTCGATTTAGAGCTTCCCTCCCCCCCTTACCCAGCCCCTCTATGTGCTTCCTCCACCTGCTCTGAACACCCTTCTCTGCATTTCCCTGCCTCCCTCACCTTTCCCTCTGGGCCTTCCTTCTTCTTGTGGTTTTGTATTTTGCTATACATTTTAACTCTATTCTATGGAATATTCTCTCAAGGCCAGGCCAATGGCTAAAATAACTCAAAATCATCATAAAATACCAATGTGCCATATTCCTTTTGACCCAAAGAATCAACCTTAAGAGTTTATGACACTGCTAAGAATTAACTTTGTTGTTTAATATCAATCATAGCACCCAGGATATTGCATAAAACAATGAAAACCTGTATGGAAGAGCTCTGAATGCTTACTGACGCAGTATGCTGTGACCAGCTAGTAAAACAACATAATATAACCAGAGGGGGATGGGAGTATATCACCATCCAGCACTGAACATGGAAGTAAAGTTGAGTAAAAAAAAAAAATGTGAAGAAAAAGACCAGAGGAGGAAAAAAGAACATTGAGACTGCACTTTCGTATGCGTGTATTACATGCAGTCATGATTCGGAGCTACATTAAAGGGTTTTTCGTAGAAGGAAAAGAAACCAAAGGAGAGAGTGAAGGAGAGTTCTCTTTGGACTACTGCTCAAAAAATATATATTTATGGTATGAGGAGCATCAGGGAAGAAGCTTGAGAGCGAGAAGTGGGATAAAAACACTGAGTGAGCAGTTTGGAGAGAGGATTGGCACAGCTCCTAACGCGATAGGCAGGAATGGAAACCGAGAGCACGCTTCCTAGCAAGAAGTTTACTTTCATGCCAAGACAGTGGGTGATCACCGCTATACCCAGACTCCCCCCTGCCTGACTCACAGGATGGGCTCCGGTATATCCGACCCAGCAGCAGGCCGAGGGTGGGGGGCGGGGGGAGTCTCCCTGTGGCACCAACCCAAACTCTGATTCACCATCGGTTGGGGAAGGCCTCTTTTTTGGCCCGCTGAAGGGGTGGTACTTTTGTGAAACTACTGTTTACACACAAGATGGCAATCCCTGAGGGAGGAGGGGCTGCCTTTTGAAAGGGTACAGCAAAGCCTAGGCATATTGGTTACTTTGGTTACAATCAGAGCATATCTCTGCCCTGGGCACCTCCTTTTTAGGAAAAGACAGGGTGCTGGTCCTGCTGACCAACTGGCCAGTGGAGTGGGACCCACAGGCAGCCGGTTCCCCACAATCCGCTGTTGACCACAAGGTCCCACTTTTTTTTCTCAGGGTGAGACAATTTCATGGGGGGGGGTGGGGAGTATTTCCTTCTTCACCAAGACCAATGCCTCTGCCCTGGAGCCCGAGGGGCCCTTCTCCCCAGCAGGGAGGCTGACAGGCCATGCTCCCCCTCGACTTCTTCGGGTTAAAATGGCTCTCCTGAAGCTGGAGCTCAGCCCTGCCTCCGGTTCTCAGATCTGCACTGCAAGCTCCTGGCCTCCCGGGCTGCGGGGTGGCCTTCCGCACCTCTGGTCTTTCCCACCAAACAGCGTTTCTCACCAAAGGTGTTTTCTAAAGGTGCTTTGAGTCAGAGATAGGAAGACCCCAGACCCAGATGGGAAGTGCTGAACACATCAACAGTTACCTAAGAGGTCCGTCCGGTCACGGTGGGGACATAGCTTGTGTCCACAAAAAGGCAAACCTGTTCTCTGACCAGGCCGCGCGCGGGCCATGCTGGACAGCACCCGTGTCTGCTTCCAAAGGAACTTCCCCTCCAGGCCATAGGTTGCTAATCTGAAGTGACCACTGCACAGAAGACGTTGCCAAATGCCCCAGGGTCATTCATGCCTTTCTGCGTGTCCCAGAGGCGCTTCCCGGGCTCCAGAAGGGACAGGGAAAGGCAGGAGCCCCACTTGTCCAGAGACCTGGGAACGATGCTCTCTCCACGCGAGAGAGTGAGTTATGGGGGGGGGGGGGAGCGCCGAGCAGAGGAACCTCCGGAGTCCGGAGCCCCATTTACCCAAACCAGCTTCCTTGGAAAGCCAGGGAGGCGACGAGCCCAATGGAGCGAGCCCACCAAACCCGCGGGTGGCAGGCAGGGAGGCCAGAAAAGTTCCTCCGCTGGAGAGCGGGGCGGCCGCTGTCCGTGGTGCTGAAACGTCTCCGCGGGCACCGGAGCGCCCCCGGCACCTGCGCGCCTTCAGCCTCCCGGCCGCCCGCTCTGCCCTCCAGACTCCTGCCCTGTCCTCCTCGCCGCCGCACCTCCGCCTCTTCCTCCTCCCTCCGCTCCTCTCCGCTCCTCCGCCCGTGCCCTCCGCGCTCCGGCGGCACCAACTCCGCCGGCGCCCGGCCCCGCGCCCCCGACCTCGCTCGGGTCGGACGAGCCCCTTCCCCAGCAGCCACCTCCGGGCGCCTGTGCCGCCGCCGGACCGCCGCCGCCGCCGCCCCCTCCTACCTTCTTCTTTCGGTCGCGGGAGCGGTTCCTCCGCTTCCTGTTTTCCTCCCTCTCCTTCTGCTCCTGGAGGGCCTGCGCCTCGATGTCTTTGATTTTCTTCAGCTGTTTGGCCGCTTGAGCCATGGTGGGTCGCGGTACCGCCCGGGTCCCCGCCTCCCGGACCCCTCACGCGTGGCAATGCAGGTGGCGACCGCTTCCCGAGGAGGAAGCAAGGAAGAGTCTCTGCGCGGCGAGGAGCGGGGAGCTGCTCTCCCTGCCGCGGGGAGGATGCGGCCGGCCGGCGGGGAGGTGGCTGCGAGCCGCGCGGAGGGCTAGGCGCGCCGCGGCTGCCCTGCCGGCGGTCCCCGGATGGCGCCTCCCGCCGCGGCCCGAGCTCGCTCGCTTGCCAGCGCCCGGGACGGGCTCTGGGCTCGGCCCCGCCACCTCCCTCCCTCCCTCCGGCCCCCCCTCCCGCTCTCCTGCGGCGGCGGCGCGGGGAGGGGGGTGGCGGCGGGAGCGGGAGGCGGCTGGTACTGCGGCGAGCGCCCGGCGGCGGGCAGGCGGGCGGGCGGGCCGGGGAGGGGACGGACCCCAGCCGTTAGCGCAGGAGGGCGCGGCCGCAGCCCGCCCCCCGGGGTCCCGGGCAGCCCGGCGAGGCTCGGCGCCCGCGCTGGTGCATTGCGAGCGCCGGGCTGCAGGCGGGAGGCCGGCCGCGCTCCCACCTCTGCAGTGCCGCCGCCGCCGCCGCCGCCGCCAGGCGCACGGGCTCCGCGCCGTCGGGCCGGGGGGAACAAAGCCGGCCGCTCCCCCCACCCCGGAGCCCTGGGGAGCCGCCGGGGACCCCCCTGCGGCGGGCAGCCTCGCGTGCCTGGGGGCGAGGGGAGGATGCGGCGGGCCCCGCGCCTGGGAGACCCCGCGGTCCAGCGCGCCTGGAGGCGGCGGCGGCGGAAGCCACGGAGGCAGGACCCGCGTGGCTTGAGGGGGAGTGGGGGGGCTGGATCGGCCTGGGGCGCCCCCGGGCGGCGGCCGCTGTGGGGCAGCGACCAGCCAGCCTCGAGCCTCCGCCTCCTTCCCGCCCAGGGCGCTCGCTGCCGAGGGGCGCGAGGGGTGCCAGGGCTCCCCGGGGAAGGGCCCGGTCCTTGCCGTTCGCTCAGAGCTGGATGTGCCCATGTCAGACCGTGTGGGCCTTTCATTTGCATAGTTACCAATTATAGATAGAAAACGTGTCCAAGATGAAGTGAGCAGTATCCTCGGATGCTCGCGGAAGGCCGTGCAGCTAGGTTTCTGCACGGCGGCCCGCCCACCCCCGTTCCCAACAGCCTCACACACCCTCGCTCCGCAGCGCCGCCTGCAGGGCGCTCGGCTGTACAGAGCGCACACCTGTCTGTTTGGGTAGCAAACTGCGGGAAGGGGACGGGGTCTTTTTTTATATATTTGTTTTTACTGATTTTTTTTTTTTTTTACAGAGAGGAAGAGAGAAGGATAGAGAGTCAGAAACATTGATGAGAGAGAATCATCGACCAGCTGCCTCTTGCACATCCCCCAACCAAGGTGCATGCCCTTGACCGGAATGGAACCTGGGACCTTTCAATCTGCAGGCCAAAGCTCCATCCACTGAGCCAAACCGGTTTCGGTAGGAAGGGAGGGTCTTAAGGTCATCTAGTCAACTCCTGGAGTAACAGACAGGAAAACTGAGGCCAGGGCCGGGGAACCACGGCCCCTGCGGTCTGGTGCCGCTCCCATCTCCATCCGGTGAGTCAGACCTGTTCGTCCACGGAGAGCTAAAGAGGGGTTTGGGGAAAACAATATTTAAGAATTGGTGAGACCTGGCCGGCTTGGCTCAGTGGATAGAGAGTTGGCCTGCAGACTGAGGGGTCCTGGGTTCGATTCAGCCCAAGGACACATGCCTGGGTTGAGGGCTTGATCCCCAGTGGGGGACATGCAAGAAGAAGCTGATCAATGATTCTCTCTCATCATTGATGTTTCTAGCTCTCTCTCCTCCCTTCTTCTCTGAAATCAACAAAGAAATTAAAAAATTAAAAAAAGAATTGGTGAAGCCTACGAAACAGTCGGCTACCTTCTGCCTTCCTAAGCTAGGGGCTTGGTGCATACAGGAAACCAGCCACAGACTAGAGCCTAGAAACTATCTCAGCTCTACTGTGCGGAAATGACTCTCCAAGGGCTCTGAGCTGGGCACAAACTCAGGGAGTGGATGAATCACCCACCACATCTCCTGCTTTCCTCTTACTGGAACATACCCTCTGCCCCCATGCCCCTATCCGACACAATCCTCCCCACCTAGAAGCGAGCCAGTAATTAAGTTGCTGGTGGAAACTTTGCTTTGAACATTGTCCTTTCCTGGGGCTGGGGCTGTGCCCGCTGCTCTTCCCATGCTAGATCCACTGACACACTGAGAACCTCAATGCCAGCCCCATTTCAGTTTTCAAGTAGCCACATTTTAAAAACGCTAAACTGTCAAATTAATTTTAAGAACATATTTTCTTTAATTCAACAAGTTCAAAATAAATAAATAAACTACTAGTGAGATATCACATATTCTTTTATACTAAGGCTTCAAAATCCAGTGTGTAGTCTATACTTAAATAGCACATCTCAATTCAGATGCTGCACATTTAGTGGCTTATGAGCCATGTTGATTTGTGATTACGGTGCTGGACGCACAGATCTAGACTCTCTCCCAGGCCAGCTCACCATGCTGGCTGTCATTGGCCTGTGCGCACACACACACACACACACACACACACACACGAGGCACACATTTTTATCTCAGCACTGACCTCCCCTCTGAGCTCCAGGCCCAGGCACCTGTGCTCCTCAGCTTCTGCTCTCATGCCGGCATCCTCTTGCCATCCACCAATCTGTCCCCGACACTGCAGTCACACTAGGCTTTTCAAAACACAGATCTGTCTGATCAGTCCCTTCTCAACTCACCATTCCTTCTCACTCTGGGATGGAGCTCAAACTCTTCTAAGGCCCCGAATGATCAGTACCGCCACTGGTCTGGCTCACCCTCTGCCTTCAGGGCCTTGCATGGTGCCTGGCACATAGTAGGGGTTCAATGAACATATGTGGAAGAAATCAGCATGTCTGCTGTGTTCTGGCTTTAAGGAATAACATTCTAGCTGACACTCATTCAGCACTTCCACTGCCCCAGGCATTAGCAACATTTTACAGATGGGGAGAAGGGATGCAAGGGGGTGAGGTAACTTGCTCCAGGTCACACAGCTAGTCATTTGAACCCTAGCATTCTGGCTCCAGAGTATATACTTTTAACACTACACTGCTACTACATTAGTCAATTTCCATATCTATGAACAAGGATACTGATAACCTCCCTTAACGACTGACTGTCAGGAAGGCCAGGGGAGAGAGTGAATGTGGAATAATTTACCAACATGAAGTGTGGTACCAAAATTCAGTTTCTTTCTTTTTTTTTTTTTAATATATATTTTATTGATGTTTTACAGAGAGGAAGGGAGATGGTTAGAAATTTGAACTCTAGTCAGTGGTGGAGCCAGAATTTGAACCTTAGCACTCTGGCTCCAGAGTATATACTTTTAACATCACACTGCTACTACACTAGTCAATTTCCATATCTATGAACACGGATACTGATAACCTCCCTCAAAGGACTGTCAGGAAGACCAGAGGAGAGAGTGAATGTGGAATAATTCACCAACACAAAGTGCGGTACCAAGATTCAGTTTCTTTCTTTTTTTTTTTTTTTTTCTTAATATATTCTATTGATTCTTTACAGAGAGGAAGGGAGAGGGATAGAAAGTCAGAAACATCGATGAGAGAGGAACATTGATCAGCTGCCTCCTGCTCACCCCACACTGGGGCTGTGCCCGCAACCAAGGTACATGCCCTTGATCAGAATCGAACCCGGGACCCTTGAGTCCGAAGGCTGACGCTCTATCCATTGGGCCAATCCGGTTTCGGCAAGATTCAGTTTCTTTTTCTTTTTTTTTATTAAATTATTATTTTTGTACATATACCAATGCCCCTCCCATCCCGTACATACCCTCCCTCCCCAAGATTCAGTTTCTTGATGAGGAGTGAAGAGGTTGGACAAGTTGGTATCTAAGACCCCTTTCAGCTTCACAACCCTGATTTCTTGTCCTTCTAGAGATCAATCAAGTCTTGTAAATGCAAAGGGGAAACATTATCATTAATGATCAGTAAGCAATGGGTACCAAGGTCCTGTACCCATCACACCTAATTAATGGTGGCAGCTCTGGCCCTGGATTTCCCAAAACATGAGCGGGGGCAAGAAGAAAGTCCTGCCACGTCCCGGATTCACTTGTAAGATAGTTCTTTTGGATCCTATTACATGTTAGGGAGCCTGCAAACTGAGAAAGAGAACATGGGACTGTGCTCTCTGAAGGCACTTGCTTCAACAAGCTGATCTGGACACAGGATGGGGGGAGGGGGATGAGGGATGGCAGCGGCTCCAGCTGAGTTCCTCCGCAGATGACTGGCCATGGGGAAACAGACACCAGCCATCTCAGCAGCTACAGGGGCTTCCTCCCTCCAGGCAGGCAATAGTGGGCATCTATGAGGCTCAGAAGATAATCCCTCTAGATGCTCTTCCGTCAAGAGATAATAATAATACTCACTGTTTACAGTATTGACAGTTTGCTATGCCCCAGGCACTGCTAATCGTTTAGGTAACACTTATGTCTCACAACAAAAGCCTTGTGTTCCTTGTTTTTACATGAGGAAGCTGAGTTTGTTTACCTGGCTTCCCTGAGGTCACACATCGAATGGGATGGAGTCAGAATTCAGAGCCAAGCTGCCTAACTGGAAGCCTGACTGAAAGAGGCCTCCTGCAGTGCAGAAGTGGTGGTCATTGCTGGAGTTAAAAACCTGAAATAGTACCCCGGGGCAGGCAACAGAAGGGCCAGCTCACTCCTCTGAAGTTGTAGGAGCAGAACTCACAGCGCCCTGCATAGCTTCAAAGTCAAAGAAGCGGCCCCTCTGAAGGTGTCATTGCCACCTCTGCTGCTGCCACAGCCACTGCACCAGGTGGAGGTGTTGGGGTCCTCCGGCTCTCCTTGCCTTTTTTCTTTCTTTCTTTTTTTTAAAAATATATTTTTATTTATTTCAGAGAGGAAGGGAGA